ACGGCTCGGGTGGGGGAGGAGGACGTGTAACAGCATTAATGGCCAAAGGCATGCGGTCCTCAGAGCAGGCAGGGCTGAGCCATAAGCGTGCTGAGAGCACGCACTACAGGTGATGAGCATCAGAACAATTAGCGATTAAAGCCCCTCATTTACACCATTCATTCGGGGTATTTACAAGGCCGTGTCAGCAGGCAGAGCCACGTCCTCGCTGCTTTAATTCGCTCAGCTTTCTGTCCAACCCTACGCGCTCTTTCTGCTGCCTGCTCTGCTTGCCGCAAGCCTCAGGCACTCGTAGGACCCGAAGCCTTTACGCCCGCTTAACGCATGTACGAGCAGCGCCGAATGACGGCCGTTCCCACAACTTCTCCCGTAGCCTAGAAAGTTCTCCGGGCAGCACGGCGCTCCGAGCCGGCCGACAGCTCCTCGCGTCCCAGCTTTTTTCCCCTTCCCCCCACCGACGCCGCGCGGCCCTCCGGCACAGAGGCGCAGCCCCGCAGGTCTGCGGGGTACGGAGCGCTCCCCGCAGCCAGACCGGCAAACCGGCAGAGGCCGCCGCCGCCGAGGTGGCGGCCGCCACGGCCTCCGCCCGACAACGGCCGGCGAGCACCGGCTCCCGCCCGGCCGCCGTTACCTTCCCGGTCACTCTTCCATCGCGGCAGTGCCGGCTCCCGCCCCGCAGCTCCGACGTCGCCACGAGCATAGGGAGCGGGCAGGGCCGCGCAGGCCGCGCCGCCTCGGCTGGCGGCGGGAGGAGCAGAGGGAGGCGGCCCGGGGGAGGTGGCGCGGCCCAAGCGCGTCCGGGAAGCGAAGGGAAGGCGCCTCCGCCCCTTCGCCGCACCGCGGGACTACAGCTCCCACAATACCCTGCGGCACCTCAGGACAGCCCGAGCGACCCGAGCCCCCCGCGGCCCCTGGGAGCTGTAGTCCCGCCCCGCCCCCGTTCCGGAGGGCGAACGACGCGTCGCAGCGCACCCGTGCGTGTTGCTCACAGGGGTCGAGAGCGTGGTTCCACACCCCCTCCGTTAACGGGTGGAAGCAGCTTGCAGCGTCTACCTAGCGAGTGCCGTTACCGCGGTTACCCTGTTCTGAGAATAACGTGAGAAAGTGCCCCCGGCCGCCACCCCCCCTTACAGGACCCGGCGGCACCGACGCGATAGAGACAGGGCCGCACCCTTAGGGGCACCGACACGCTGCCGAGGGGCGCCCGTCGGCCGGCCGCCTGGATGCGCACCGCCAGGCGCCACGGCCACGCGGACGCCGCCGCCCGGAAACCAGGGCCGGCCGTCGCGGGCGGTGATTGACAGCCGCCTCGCCCAACCGCGCCGCGCCGCGGGCCAATGGGAGGGCGATACGGCGGCGGGCGGTGCCGCAGCGGGCGGGTGACGTGAAGCAGCCGCGCGTGCGGCCTTTCCTTTCCTGCGGGCGGCGGCGGCGGCAGCATGAAGGCGTCGGGCACCGTGAGTGAGGGTCGCGGAGCTCTCTGACTGCGTCCGTGTTTTGCGGCGGGCCTGAGGCCGGCCCCGGGCGTTGGGAGTGCGGCTGTGCGGGCTCGTGGCGCTCGAGAGCGGTCTCCGCGCTCCTGAGTGGGCCCCGCTCGGCCGCGCATGGAGGCGAGCGGCCAACATGGCGGCGGCGCTCCGGCACGACGCGTGAGGGGGGGCCGCCATAGGCCGGGCCGGCGGGCGGCGCTGCCGGCCTTCTGCAGCTCGGCTTCTTCTCGGGCGCCGGGAGGCCCGTCTCGGTGCGGCTCCTCGCCTCCGGGACCTCTGTCCTCCGCCTCTCGCCGAGGTGTCCGTCCCGGGGAGTCTTTTCGCAGCCTCCGCATCGCGACTCACGCCGCTGTCTTTCCCTGCAGCTGCGGGAGTACAAGGTGGTCGGGCGCTGTCTGCCCACGCCGAAATGCAGGACTCCTCCGCTCTACCGGATGCGGATCTTCGCTCCCAACCACGTTGTCGCCAAGTCCCGGTTCTGGTATTTCGTGTCTCAGCTGAAGAAGATGAAGAAGTCTTCTGGAGAGATTGTGTACTGCGGCCAGGTGGGGGATGACATACCCGGTAATCTGGGCGGTTTCGAAGGGAATTCCTGCTGGTATATATAGGATAAAGTTACACGAAGCACTGCTGCTAGGAGTGAAGTTAAGCTCAGTTTATCTTTCTGTTGCTGTCAAGTGAACCAACGCATTCCTCTTTTCAAAATGGCAGTGTATATCCAGGGAGCTTAGGAAACAACAAATGGTCAAAAAAAAAAACAAGATTAACTTGCTATGATGACTTAAGTCATTACTGTACTCTGCTGTTTTCAGGGTCTAGCGTTCATTATTTGGGCTTATACTTCTTAAGAGTTATGTGGATATTCATAACTCTTGGAGAGTATATGCTTACCAATCTGTTTATAGGATGTCCTTTTCCATTTGTTTTCATAGTGATGTAAAGTTGATTTTAAGTATTTTCACCAAAAATTATCAGTTTGAATGCAGCTATGTTGTTGTGGGAGAAGAGACAAAATCTTTTTTCACTAAAACTGTCCACAGTGTTTTTATTAGAGCTTCATTGTAGTTAAACTAAAATACTGATGACGTATTTAACTTCTTTTGTCCCTTTGTCTAATTCCAGGTGTATGAGAAGACCCCTCTGCGGGTAAAAAATTTTGGTATTTGGCTGCGCTACGATTCTCGTAGTGGAACTCACAACATGTACAGAGAGTACAGGGATTTGACCACTGCTGGTGCTGTCACTCAGTGCTGTAAGTTTGTAATTGTTCAAGGTAGAACGTTTATATAAACATAAGCTTAAATCTTAAGCTGAGCATAAAGTCTGGGTAAGAATGCTGTCTTAAACTACGAGAAACAAAATTAAACTCTAGGAAATGAAATCAGGAAGCTGCTGGAGAGGTCTGCAGGTGTGATCTCACACTCATAATATGTTTTTTCTAGATAAAGATATTCCCTTTTGATCACTATGTAACATTGAGTAACTGTGGTAACGAGTTTTGCTCTGTAGGCTGAGTTTCTTAGTCTTTGAGGTGCTCTAGATGTTTACTGTACATAATGTTTCAGAACGGCCTTGTTGAGGGAATGTTTCAGATTAGATCATCTCAACTTCTGCTATGTAAAGTGCTTGAGGGGTACACCATTTGTATGGCTGACTCTGTTGATAGTTGAATTTGGAACTGTATGTAGTGCACACAAAAACCCAAAGAATGTTGTTCTCTGTAATGATGTTCTTGTCGTGTGTGCAAATATTATATGGATCTTGTCGCCTTTCCAGAGCTGAGGTGCTCTTGAAAGTGAAACTTGAGGTTCTACATTAACTTAATAGGATGCTGTTAATTAATGTACTGAAAGATTTCTTAAGAGGCCTCAGAACTCAAGTTTGCCATAATGCAGTGATTGATAGCTAAGTATCTAGTCTGAATAATTTAGGAATTTTAATTTAGGAATTAATGGAACGTTTTTCCATTAATAATACTTCAGTGTGGATTCTGAATCAACTCGCTTGTTTTAAAAAGGTAAATCCCATCTTGATTATTTCTGCAAGCACATTTTGAAATCAGGCAAGAGTAAGATGGCATTCTTTTGGAGACATTGAGTTATGAGTTCTCTCGTTGCAGACCGTGATATGGGAGCCCGTCATCGTGCCCGTGCTCACTCCATTCAGATAATGAAAGTTGAGCAGATTGCTGCTAGCAAGTGCCGTAGGCCAGCAGTCAAGCAGTTCCATGTGAGTAAAATTGCAGTGCCTGCTGGGTCCCAGTCTGGTAGAGGGCTGGAGGGAGGGAGCTGTGTCTGGTGCAGGTTTGCTTTGCAGGCAAGAGTGTGGAGGGGGAACCAAACTTGCACTCATAGCTTCACAGATATTTTACTTTGTGATAAAGTTCCTTTTGTTAAAGTCAGAATATAACGTGTATTACATTACAACAAATGTGCCTTTCACAGACTTCTTGTTCAAAAACAATTGCAGACGTTGTGTGCCTTTTCAGTATTGTGAAGTGTAAAGCAATAGTGATGTAGTATCTCAACACAAATATTTTCCTTGCAGGATTCTAAAATCAAGTTCCCTCTGCCACACAGAGTTCTGCGTCGTCAGCACAAACCACGTTTCACCACCAAGAGACCAAATACTTTCTTCTAAGTACGAAAATGTGCTGTCTACTCAGTGTAATAAAGGTCTATTTGAACCTTTCATTCCAGGTTTCTTTGTAAACTCTGTCTCAAATACCCAGGAAGCCCCGTTCATATCCTGTTTTCTGTATGTTATTTGCAGCCTAGTTGAAAGAGTGTAGTAGAAATACTGGCCAGAGGCAGCTGGGAACCTTGCTGCTCTGGGACAGCAGTAGGGGAGCTCTGGAGCTCAGTGCAGAGAGAAGTGGCTGCAAATTTCAGCAGGAGGTGGGTGGGACAGAGCTCTGATGTTCCCCAGGAGCTGGAACAGGCAATGCTGTCACGGCAGCCCCCTTTCTGTGGGCTTGTGTGTCACAGCTCTGCTGCGTGCTGTACTCATCTTTCCAATCTGTTCAAGGAGTTGATCTGTCCAAAGCTTAAATTAGTCCTCCTTGTCAGTGGGTTGAGCAATTGAGGATCCCTAAAATGGCTGCAGAGATGTCAGGTGGGATTGGAAGCTGCAAAAGCCACGGCTTACATGGGAGATCATGCAGGAGTGGTGCTTTAGGGTCCAAGCTAACGTTGCCCAGAAGCCCTTGCGTTTGGACGCTTAATGGAGAAAACAGTGGAGCATGAAAGCGGCCTTCTGATTTAAACCAGAGAAAACAATTCAGGAGCGGAGGGCCAGTGCTCTGCGCGCTCCTATTCTTTTGCAGCGTGGCGCGGACGGCCAGCGCCTTACGCAGAGGATCAACCCCTCCCGGCATGCCCTGCGCCCACCTGTGCCCTCGCGCCGCATGACGGGGAGGGCCGTCGCATCTCACGTGACCGCGACCCTCCCGCCCGTCTCTCCCCGCATCACGTGACGAGGACTTCCGGGGGCTGCGGCGCGAGTGAGGCCCCTCGTTCGGCTGGGAGCGGAACCCGGAAGCGGCGGCGGCATGGGGGAGTCGATCCCGCTGGGCGCGCCCGTGCCGGTGGAGCAGGCTGTGCTGGAGACTTTCTTCTCCCACCTGGGCATCTTCTCGTACGATAAGGCCAAGGACAACGTGGAGAAGGAACGTGAGGCCAACAAGAGCGCGGGGGCCAGCTGGCTGGCCCTGCTGGCCGGGCTGGCGCACCTGGCCGCCGCCGAGAAGGCCTACCACAGCATGACCTTCCTGGGCCAGAAGCTAGGTATCGCCGTCCTCGGGCCCCCACACGGTCCCGGCGGGCCGCCGCGTTGCTCCGGGTCCCGCCGTGGCGGGGTGGGGGGAAGCGGGCGGGCTCGCGGGAAGCGCAGGAGTGCAGCGCGTGAGTCTAACGCGAGCACTGGGTCCGCGCCCTCCGTGCGCTCTGACGTTCGCGTTACCCCGAAGCACGTCTTGCGGCTGGCACAGCCAGTCCTTCCGAACCTGTGCCGGGGAATAAGCAGCCTGGCTACGGTTCCCGAGCTGTAGCCAGCTCTGTTTCCGGGCGGGTGTGCTCTTGTCTGAGATTCTGGCAAAGGTGAGCTCAGTGGGGTCGCCAAGAGCTTCTTTCACGTTATGGTTCCAGGCCCTAAAACTAGAACAGTGTGTGTGTCAGAAAGTGTGTGAGTACTCAGGGCTGAAGACTGCCTCCTGAAAGTTGTTATTCATGTAGATGCTGCAGGATCTCAGGAAACCTTGGCTACAATCTTAGCTGCTTCTCTGAATACAGAAAACTAACTCATGCAGGACAAGCCATCATCATGCTGTCCTCTGGGCAGAACTCCTTGTTTTCTCTTTGGACTGCAGACTGGCATGGAAATTGAATCAAGGGATGCAAGTCTGCTGCATAATGCAGTAAAGCAACAAGAAAGTTCTGCTATGGTGTTTATGTTGAAGTGGTGACTTTAAACTATTTTATAGGAAGAATTTTACAGAGGGAAAAAGCCTACTGTAAAGCAGACTTCTAAAAGTTTGTTTGGTTCTTGCAGAAAGAGCAAAATTGACAACGTAAGGGATGTGCATAGTTTTATTTGCTTGCATACTTCAAGTACAGCAGCAATGGGTGACTGTTCCCCTGCCCTGATCCAGGGACAGCTCTTGGCTTGGAGCTATTTTTCCATGATAACCAATTCTATGCTTTTCTGCTACAAATTGCTAATGAAACTTTTGAACGTTACATGTGTAAAATAGATGTGGAACCGACTATATACCACTATGAAAGTTATAAGCAGCTTCAAAATGGAACCTGAAGTCTCTTTAAAAAAAAAAAAAAAAAAAAAAAAAAGTGTTCTGCAGGTTCATTCTTTGTGATCCTTGCTCTGCTGCAGCTCATGAGTGCCACAGCAGCACATAAAGCCATCTGGAAATGGAAATGAAATAAGAATAGTAGCTTTGTACAGTCTTTTGGGAACATCAATGAGGAATATCCTTTGTCTGTATCCCTGGTGGTAGGGGGGTTGGAACTAGCTAATCTTTAAGGTCCCTTCCAACCCAAACCTTTTCACAATTACTTTTTTAAAAATTATTTATTTTAAAATAATCATAATGTCAAACAAGTGGAGAGAAGCATTGACTTTGTTTTTTCTCAGTTTAATTATGAATTAGCCTGCACTGTGGTCCCACTGAGATAAACTGCGGTTGTTTTCCCTTTGAGTTCAGGTTGATGTTAAGATAGGATAGGAACTGGAAACATTTGGTTTGTACACATAAATATCACGTTTCCCATGTAAAGGCTGCTGTCCAAGTCTGCGTGCTCTGTCTTTGAGGAGGTGTTATTAAGGGAATTCTGTTAAAGTTTTGGAGTTATTAACAGCAGCTCAGCCTATTAAAACCTCATGTTGACTCATGACCTCCAGAGATAATAGTGTATCATAGTAGCAGAGTTAACTAAACCCCTGTTAAAAAGCCCATAGTGCAGCTAACACAGGTGTGAAGAATTTGAAGACATTTTGCAACAGTAGTTGGCTGCTATGAAATAAGAATTGGGGCAGGCAAGACTTGCATCAGATTACACAGAGTGCTTCTGTGTGCACTTCATACCTGCAAAATAATAGGCTGAAACTGATTTCTTGATGAAAAACCCATAGGAACACCTGGGGAAAAACAAACGTGGTTTTGTTCTCCAGTATTGCTGTCTATCTTTCCTCTGCCTGGAATTTGGTAATACCTCCATATTTATCTGAACAGGTGGTCAGTCATTCTTCAGCCGAAAGGACTCCATCCGAACCATCTACACATCCCTGCATAATGAGCTGAAGAAGGTGGTGGCGACGGGTCGCAATGCACTAGGAGGAACAGCTCCTCACTTGGAAGAGCTGCTTTCTCACCTGTCTGAACAGCTCTGTTTTTTTGTTCAGGCTCGGATGGAAATTGCTGACTTCTATGAAAAAATGTACACGCTCAGCACCCAAAAGTTCATTAACTCTGAGGAACTGGTAAACATTTTGGAATCCATCTTAAAGAAATATAGCTCAAGGTCAGTGCTTATTTGCTGGCAGTAAGTACTCGGGCATATGATCTGTAATAAATTATATGATGGCTGAAAGCCTAAAGATTTTGCTGTCTTTTGATTGCTGAGGAGTTCCTTGCATGAATTCATGCATGAAGTGAATGTTGGTGAGCAATGACCACCCTTGAGCTGAGGGCTCAAAGTAAGAAAAACCCAGAAAATTCTATTCATTACTTTACAGGAGCCATCTTCTCTATTCCTTAATTCATACTCAGCTGAGAGCAAAGAATGTGTGCCAGAATTCTGTTCTTATGTCCATTGCTGTGCTTGTAGGGTAAACAAGGACTTAATTCAATATGGACTTGAGTGAAAAGGGCTCAAGGCCTGGAGCACCTCTCCTATGAGGAAAGGTTGAGGGAATTGGGATTGTTTAGCTTGGAGAAGAGAAGGCTCCAGGGAGACCTCATTGTGGCCTTCCAGTACTTGAAGGGAGCTTATAAGCATGGAGGGGAATGGCTGTTTACAAGGGTGGATAGTGATAGGACAAGGGGGAATGGTTTTAAACTGAGACAGGGCAGGTTTAGGTTAGATATTAGGAGGAAGTTTTTCACACAGGATGGTGATGCACTGGAACAGGTTGCCCAAGGAGGTTGTGGATGCCCCATCCCTGCAGGCATTCAAGGCCAGGCTGGATGTGGCTCTGGGCAGCCTGGTCTGCTGGTTGGTGACCCTGTACATGGCAGGGGGTTGAAATGCAATGATCATTGTGGTCCTTTTCAACCCAGGCCATTCTGTGACTCTATGAAATTGGTTTAGGAATAGAACAAATATTTGTGTACTAATTTTAGTTTTAAACTTAGAATTGAGCCAACACATTCTAAAGCCCTGCGTTAGTTTGTGCCTGTACTGAGTAAATTTCAGATTAATTTCACAATATTGTTGGCTTTTAATATAGACTATTATTGTTTCTGATCCTCCTGGAAGGGTTTTATGGTGTTCTGTTATCACTTCTTTCTAGAGCTACTGGAGTTAGCAGAAGGAGCACAAAGTCTTTGGTGGTCTTGCCTTTCTTATGTTAAGATCTCTAAGTCACTCTTGGTTGAGTATTTCACAGCTGAAACATGATCTGTGCAAGTGGTGGCAGTTTAAAAAGAAAAGAAATTTTGAGTAACTTGACAGCAGGCAAAAATGGCTGTAAAAATGCTTTTATTTTAAAAGCCAAACAAGGTAGCTGTTTCAGGAAGATAGTTTTCAAGTGTAGTTGGGTTCTTTTTAATCTTTGTTGGTGAAATAGCATCTAAGAAGACATTTGGGTGAAATATTGTGAGTTTTTTTTATAGTTAAGATTTTTTAAATGTACAATAAAAAAAATTCAGCGCTGCTGACAGTGTTTCTAAAATTCCAAACATAAGCACTGCAGCTGACTCCCCTTGCTTTTGTTAATAATTTTAAGGAAATTGTTGTGTAACATTGTTATTTGGAAGTCTGATTTATATGATCTTACTAGTAATTTTTGGCAGTTCTTGGTTTGTAAACCCTTACAGTCTCAGGGTTGTTAGTCCAATGAAACCTAAAACATGGAGATGTTCTGAGATGCTACTAGAGCTGTGTGGGTAGCTTGGTTCTCCCCAGTGTTGTACTGGATATTTCTGAAACAAAGTCCATCCTTTATTCTTTCTTTTAGTTGTGTTGTATCTCAGAGCAGTTTCTGAGGGCTGCTATGTGACGTGTTTGCCACGCAGCATTTCTCTGTTGTCTCTCTCAAGTGAAAGGTCAGATAAACTCACCCTGATGCTGTCTGTTCCCTCTGGGAATATATCCTCACTTACAGGTGCACCATTTTATCAACACTTCTAAGCCAAACGGGGCATCTGTTTTCCTGCAAGTTCTGGCCTTGGTTTCTTTCCTTTACATCTGAAAATCATCAATCTCTGAACAATTGGAAGCTATTTTGTTAGTGCTTATTCCTGGCTTGTGAACAGCCAGTAGGAGACATTTTCCTCTGTGTTTTCTGTAAAATACAGCTGGAAAATCACCATTGCCTGAACTTTTTGAACTTTTTTTTGTGGGGTGAAGGAGGCAGTGTGTGGGAGGAGAATGTTTATGTTTTTAATTGGAGAAAGTAAAACAGCCTCAGGTCTATAAAAGCTTAATATATAATCAATAAGTAATCCGTTTTGATGTAATTATTCTTGTGTCTTGTGGCTTGCATCTAGTCAGTGTTTTGTAGCTTTGTATGCATCTGTGATCTAGAGAAAGAAATTAAGAAGTTGAAGAAAAAATGTTGTCTTTGTAGTCTGGAGAACAGAACCATCATCCCTGTGCTCTCATGAATGACTGGGGGGGAAGTAGACTGATCTACCACATTCATCATTTAATTTTTTTAAATGAATTTGAACTTATGTCTTAGGAGCAAATCCTTTCAAAAGTGTGTGTTGTGGCTGTCAAGAAAAAAGGAGACCCTTGAAATATGATAAGGCTGTCAGACTATTTTTACAGGCTGAAGCATTGATATTTTGGCAGCAAGCTGAGTGGAAAGTCAAAGAAAAAGCAGCGAAGAGGAAGAAGAGGAAGAGGGAGAAAAGTTTAACATTCTTGTCCATTCTTTTGGTCTACAACAAAATGAAATGTTTTGGTTTTGAACCAAGTATTTCCAAAATTGATTCTGTGGATTGTGACTGGAGAGTTCAGGGAGATAATGAGTGGAGCTGCTTTCACCTTGTCTGTTGATCACTTATTAGAGGTGTGAAGAATTCAGTGTAAACTTGTTTGCTTTAAAGTAGTATCAAGGATCAACCCAGGATGTTGGAAGTGAGGGCATCAATCTGTATTGATTTCAGTCAAGTCTTGTTTTTGAAGTGTTGGTTCTTCTTTGATGGTGATCTCTTTAAGAGGTCACCTAAATGCATGTTATGGGAATGCACTTATTAAAAAGGCTGCTTGTCTTAGCTGAACTTCTGTCAGAAGTTGAGTATTTACCTACTGCAACTGGAGCAGTTCTGCACAATTTGAATTAAAGTGTATTTATCTCCAGTGTTACAAATCTATGAGTTTGAGTGATGAGGGGAAGGAAGTAGACTGGTTCTGAATGAGGTTTTTTGTTGTGGGGTGGTTTGGCTTGTTTTTTTTTCCCCTCTGTGAAGTTAAGATAAAATAGAGAAGAGCTGGGAGGAGAAGAGAAAGCTGTAAAATGGCTCTATTAAAACTCCATTTCACTGAGACTTGTCCTAATGGTACAATCACTCTAATGAATAAGATGTGCATTGGCACTTCTACCTTATGAATGAGATTTTCATAGCATCTGTTAAACTGAGAGCTGGTCTTACCCTGAATTCTTAGAGGGGGAGATGTGCTGACAGTTAGAGAATCTTTTACTGTGAAAGTATGAGATTCTACTGAATATTTTTCCTCTTCATTGCTCCTGGCACACCAACATTCAAATTTGAGACTGGGTTCAACAGTAAATACAGTTAATTGTGGTTCTACTGATTTATTTCCCATCACAGTTTTATTGTTTTATTGTAAATTGAAAAGGAAAGAAAGCAAGCTCAGGTTGGTTTCCTCATAGCTTCCCTACATGAGCAGTGAATTTATAACATAACTTTCTTTATTTAAACTTAATATCTTAGTACTATTTGACAGCTATCAAGACATATTACCACCAGAAGAGATTTTAAAATTGAAACAAAACCACTTGAATTTAAAGAGGAATGGTTCTGTAATAGCTTGTGAATCAATATAGGCTGATGTAGGTATGCTGTACATTCATTAAAATGTTTGTCCTAGTTATGCTAAGTAGGAATTCTTAAATTAACAAGATAACTTGTTGGCTTACGCTTCAGCCTGCCTTGATGTGTTGTGTTCTGTCTGTGAATTGAGAAGCACTAGCTGATAACTTCACTGTTGTCTGTAGAGTTTCTCATGTCTTGAACAATGTTGTGTTTTCTAGATTTCATCATCCAATCCTCAGTCCTCTTGAAAGCAGTTTCCAGCTGGAAGTAGATGTGCTTGCGCATCTCTTAAAGGCTCAGGCTCAGATCTCAGAGTGGAAATTCCTTCCATCCTTGGTCAACTTGCACAGTGCTCACACAAAGCTACAGACTTGGGGCCAGATATTTGAAAAACAACGAGAGACCAAGAAGCATCTGTTTGGGGGGCAGTCCCAGAAAGCCGTACAACCTCCTCACCTCTTCCTCTGGCTGGTGAAACTCAAAAACATTCTCCTTGCCAAGTTTAGCTTCTACTTTCACGAGGCCCTTAGCCGACAAACGACCGCGTCTGAAATGAAAACTCTGACTGCTAAAACAAATCCTGATTACTTTGGGAAGATCTCCAGTTTTATTCGGAAATACGACGCTGTCAATGTTTCCTTAATCTTTGACAATCGTGGATCGGAGAGTTTTCAAGGACACGGTTATCACCATCCCCACTCTTACAGGGAAGCTCCCAAAGGAGTGGATCAGTATCCTGCAGTGGTGTCTCTGCCCAGTGACAGGCCTGTTATGCACTGGCCCAATGTAATCATGATTATGACTGACAGAACCTCTGACCTCAACAGTTTGGAGAAAGTTGTTCACTTCTACGATGACAAAGTCCAAAGCACGTATTTTCTGACTCGCCCTGAACCTCATTTCACCATTGTAGTTATTTTTGAGTCCAAGAAGTCAGAAAGGGATTCTCACTTTATTTCTTTTCTCAATGAAATTTCACATTCCCTTAAGAATTCCAAAGCTTTTGCAAGTTTGAAGCCTGGATCCAAAGGGTAAAACACGTAACCCAAATTGTCAAGGCAGACTGTCAGCCTTAGGGTAACTGCAGCTTCCAGGATTACATAAACTCATGATTATCGTCGTCTAATTAAAAAGGAACCATTATTTTTAATGATATAAGTTCAATTAAAAAAAAATACAGCTAACTGACTCTTGGGGAAAAAAATATTTTTGGCAGTATTCAGTGAGATAACTTAACTGTGGGGTGCTAAATGGCAGCGGTGAGAGTTTTTTGAGTGTGTGTGTGTGTGTGTGTGTGGTTTCCAATTTGCAGTATGATTTATTTTTTCAGTCCACAACTTGGTTGCCTGTATAACAGAGGAATATATGCACTTTATTATAGTCTGATCTATAGAGATTACTGAAAATGTGATGAGGGTGGAAAATGTGTATTTTCCGAAAACCAAAAAACTGTCTGACAGGAATTACTTCTGGGAACTGTGCACTGATGGAAGGGAATATTGAAATGTGTGAATCTGCAAGAGCACGTTTTCAATAAATAAGATACATGAATCACAAAGGAACTCGCTAATTAAAACACTTTAAAAACAGTTGAGAACTGATACTGTCTGTTAAGCAGCAGTTTATTCCAAACAAGCTCTGAAGCATAAAGCTGCTTCAGAACACAGGCTCAATCAAATAAAGCTGAAGCATGTTTTGGGAGCAGAGCGTTCCCTGCAGTGATGAGACCCTGTGTGTATCTGGCTCCAACTGAAGCTGGAGGAGTTTGAGCAGGTGGTTTAGATTGGAATGGTTCCACAGAAAAGCAGCAAAGCTCTTTCAAGTTGTGCTTTTGTTCAGCTACACGTTAAAAAAGCGTGCAGGAGGAAATACCCTTTGTGAGTTATTTTACAATTTGCTGTCAGGGCCAACTTGGATATACTTTCAGATTTTTGGAAGTTTGTTGTTTTTATTCTGTTCTGTTTTAAATGCTTTCACAAGTAAGCTAAATTGCAACTCTTGGAATTTTGATTTTCGTTCCTTTGCAGTGTGTTTTCCTCATTCTGAAATGTCTGTTTCGCTGCTTAGTTTTTCCAAATCCGGAGGCTAGAAGTGTGGTTTCTGATTATTCTGAAAGTGCTGTTCATTTTGAGAATTGATATTTCCCTGTGTCACACACGGCTTACAGGCTTATACTGTGTGTTTCTTCTGACCACTATGCAGTTTCTTTTGTGGGAATTCAGGAGGGAAGGATGTGGCTCTGACACACAGTTTATGCTGGTGTAGTCAAGTTAGATCCTTAGCTAACACTGTTGAGGCTTTGAAGCAGAACAGATACCCTTGGATTTTAAGTTTTACTGAGTACCTTCCTCTCTTGCAAAGGGTTTTGGTAGCTTGTCTCACCTCTCCTGCAAGTGCTGGTTTCTTCACAGTCACGTGAGAATGCTCTCATCTCAAAGTGTGAGCTCCAGTTTTGCATTTTGTGCCAGAGAGTCTTCCATGTTTTGCTATAATTAGGTGTTGGTCTGTTGAAAATATCTGCTTCTTCCTTTTTCCTAAGTCTTAGTCTAGCTGCAGTATCACCCTTAAGATTTTGAAGAGGCTCCTTTTTGTCACTGGAAAAGGAGAGGTAGATACACCAGCAGCAGACCACCACCTGGTTGTAACAGTGTTGCACTTTGCATCTCCTGTTGTCCTTTTGTCCCAGTGAAACTCTAAACCCTCCCAAGACTGTCTTTTGTGTGCTTACCTTCTTTCAGATAGTGGCTTTGTAATGTTGTCGTGCTATTGACTTCCTCAGCCTGATAAGAGAGAAGAAGCTGTCACCTGAACCGATTCCCAGTCTTCAGCAGTGTAATAAAGTGTTGCACGAATTCTGTCTGCCTCTGCAGTATTTTCCTGTGAGACCAGCTATCCACGGTAAGGGGAAGAAAGTAGCTTTGGGAGGAGAAAAGCATATGAATACAGTCACCTGTTTCCAATCTTTAGGTAGCAACCATCTTGGCAGAACAGCTCTTTCTGGATAGATGATTTTGAGAGTCTTAGTTGGTTTACATTATTAACTAGGACATGCTAATATGATACTAAGAGTTAACATTTGAAGCTTGGGGCAGTGCAGTGCTTGTTGTAATTGTGCAGCTCGCTACTGATCTCATAAAGTATTTAGTGTCACTAAATATTTGGCTCTGTGTTATATGCATCATTTGCTACCAAAGTACTGGGAGGTTTTTTTTGGTGTGTGTAAGTCAAATTACTCAGAGCTGTAAAGAGAGCATAATTGTGCTGAGTTGTTGTGGTCCCATGTGATCTACAAGTTGAATTAAAAGTTGTTAAAAGACTTGCTTTCATCAGCACCACTGGCAACTGCAGCAGGCTGGAGTTATGTCCTCTCTGGGTGTTTACTAGGTCTGGTTCTTCAGGAATAGAGCAGTGCTTCTCCAAAGACTTCCTGGGTCTGTGTAGGAATCTAGGTAAAATTGTAGGAATACTTTAAAGGTGAAAGGTTATGTTTTGCAACTCCACTTTTCACCTAAAACTCAGTTAGACTTGTGGTGGGGCATCTGAGGCTTTGCCCTCATCAATACAGCTAAGTAAACTAGGCACCCCCACGCTGGAAGATGCTAACTCTTATCAGAGAGATGGGGTGGGAAGTTGTGAGCACTAATAGGCTGTCTTCTTTTAATCTGATGCTCTAAATCTGCCTGCATGATTTACAAATTTGACCATTTAAGTCCCATTTTAGGTGTGGAAATCATTTTGTAGAGCTCACCTCTGCCTGGAATGATGCTGAAGGAAAGGTTCAGAAACAGTAAAAGTTATTTTCTTCTCTTCATATGTATCTATCTAGAGAGAGCAATAGGCAATTATTTTCAACTGTCATTGAGTAATAGGCGTTTGGGAAAAGCAAGTCCTTTTTTATTGTTGCTTATGTGGGGAATGACTGAGATAAATGGAGTCCCCACCCCAGCTTCCTAAGCAATTTGTCTACACTGTTTTGCCTGCAAATCCAATATTCTTAGGTGTAGTGGATCAACCATTTCCATGCTGAAGTTTGCAGTCTGCATGCAGACTTATTGAAACGATGGGATGACTTATTGAAACGATGGCTGCTAGATTAATAAGGGATCAGCCTACTTGCTTCTGAGAGAAGCAGAATAGAGTAGAACAGAACGGAACAGTGGAGTAGAACCAGAACAGGACAGGACAGTTGGAAAGGACCTTTGTACAACATCTAGTCCAAGTGCCTGATCCCTTCACAGCTAACCAAAAGTTAAAACATATTACTGAGGGCATTATCCAATCGTTTATTGAAAACTGACAGGCATGAGGCATCAGCAATGATGTTGGTAACACACCAATGTCTTAGTTTTTGCACAGCAGTGCTCACTCTAAGTTAAGAACTTTCCAGCTTTCCCCAATAGCTTGCCAGCAAGGAAATTGGGGAGATCATGGGAGGGGACAAAGCCAGGAGAGCTGATCCAGACTGGCCAAAGAGGTATCCCATACCGTATGGCATCGCTCTGTATCAAACTGGGAGAGACAGCCAGAGAGAAGGACTGCTGCTCAGGAAGTCCCTGAGAACCTGTCAGCAGGTGCCGAGCAATTGCATTGTGCACCACTTGTTCTGTGTATTCTTTTATCATTATTAGTTTTCCTTCCTTTTCCATCCTATCAGACTTTTTTTCTCAACCTGTGGGTTTTACTTTTTTTCCAATTCTTTCCCCATCCCACTGGCAGGGTGGGAAGAGTGGATGAACAGCTGTGCAGTGCTTAGCTTCCTTTGGGGTTAACCCACAATGAGTGTCTGGCATTTATCTTTGATGAACTTCACGCTACTGCTGACTGCCCAGCGTTCTGATCTGTCTGGATCCCTCTGCAGGCATGCCATCTTTCCGAGGAGTCAACAGAACCTCACAGTTTAGTACCATCAGCAAACCTGCAAAGGATGTTTTCAACTCCTGCATCCAGATCTCTGACAAAAATGTTGAGTAGAGCGGGACCAGTCCAGAAGCATGCTGTGTTAAAGGCCTTGCTGAAAACCAGAAAGGTTCTGTCTGCTTCTTTGCCTTCATCAACCGGGCAGGTGGCCCTGTCACAGGAGATCAAACTGCTCAGCAGGACTTTCCCTTGATGAACTCCAGTTGACTATGCCTGATAGCAGCTTTGTTCTTTAAGTGCTTTTCAAAATCACCCAAGAAGATTTTCTCCGTGACTTTTCCAGGAACTGATTAACAGGTCTGCAGTTTCCTGGGTCTTCACTCATGCCATTTTTGTACATGGTTATGACATTGGCTGTTTTCCAGTCAGCAGGGACCTGCACAGGCTTTCATGACCTTTGGTAAATTGTTGAAAGGCGTCCAGCTATAGCAGCTGCTGACTCCTTCAGTACTTCAAGGGTGAATCCCATCTGGACCTATGGCACATTGAGCTGACGTAGTCCTTTTATATATGCAGATGGAAAGTCATCGCTTCTCCAGTCGTACTCCCCCAGTTGTGAGGCCAAGATCTGTCAGTACTGTTAAATATGAAGAAAAAAAAAAAGAAAAGAAAAAAAGAGAAAGAATTGAACTCCTCTGTTTTTTCCTCCTCCTTCCTCATTAGGTGATCTTCCACTCCAAGGATTAGTCTGATTGTGGTTGATATACTTGAAAAAGTCTTTTTTTGTTGTCTGACACCACATTGGCCAGTGGCAACTCAAGCTGGGCTTTGAGTTTTCTCATTTTCTCCCTGTAGATGAAAACCAAAGCTCCATAGCCTCCCTATGAAGACAGACCTTGCTTCCAGAGATCATGTATTTCCTTTTTCAAGCCTAGTTTCAGGTAGAGTTCCCTGTTCAGCCAAGTTGGTCTTCCAGCCCATTAGCTTAACTTGTGGCGTAGTGGGATTACCTGCTCCTGAGCTTTTAAAAGGTGGTTCTTGAAAAGTGACCAGCTCTCGTGGGCCCCTGTGCTCTCTAGGGCAGATTCCCAGAGGATGCTGCCAACCAGCTCCTGGGAAAGAAAGAAGGAAAAGGAACCAAACACATTGATGATTTTGTAGTATATCCAACTACACGAGAAAGAGCTGAAATTTCAAGAAACAGAACTATTTCAAGTTCTTCTATATTTATCTTCAAAGCTGCCAGCTGAAATGTCTTCAGGGAGTTGATACGATAATCACATGTTAAAAGCACAGCTTTCGTGCTTCAGAGTATAATTTGCTCACCAAGCGTGGAAGAACTTACGTATCCATCTGAAAGGTTATTCTGCAACCATGTTTTATACGGACTTACTGGTTTTTTTGCACTTCATGATAGTATTTCCTTAGACACTTATTTCATAAATTATATTTAGAAATAAACTGGACAGAACTTTTCCCAAAACTGGCATTCCTTCAAGAATGCCAAGTGTAAGCGTTCTGTCCAGCTCAGGGAAGAAAACAGCTGAATCCAATTTTTGTACCATTTTTCCATGCGTAAGAGCAATGCGTTAATTGCTTTCGTACTTTGGTAAGGTGGAAAAGCTGCCACTAGAGGGTGGTGTTAATATTAAAAGTAAGTAGTTTTGAGCTCAGTCTGTATCCAGGATAGAATTATTGTTTGTACTCTCCTACACATTTATGAACATAGCTTTTAATGCTCTAGTCTGATCTGTTGTTTTAGTATTGTTGGCTTTCTTCCCCATTGAGTGACTTACGGAGTTCTGTTTTAGCTGTAAACAGCAATAACAAGTATCTTGTTTCATACCTTAGTATGTATGTGAGCACTAAAATGATTTTGTTTCATTCATCTTCTTCATGAGGGGATTCTCACTCAGTTGAAGAAAAAAAAAAAAAAAAGCAACTTAAAAAGCTTTTACAATTTTTCTGTTGAAAACTACCAATTCATTTAAAATTGCATTGCATTTTACAGATTTATTTTCCTCATTCTTACCATTTTTTTTTCTTCCTCAACAGTAGAGGAACATTTTTTTTTTTCCCCAAGGCATTGCAACATGATCTAATGGCTGTTACAGCCCAGTGAGGGAGCTGGATAATGTCCCCATGCCATTTTGCTCCAAACTCTACTCAAGGAATGGTCTCCCCACTGGGGCACGACTCCCCAGGGGGGCATAGCTATCCAAGGTGACATCTTTTGAAATGTGCTCCTGGGAAGATTTTTCACTATTTCTTTGGTGGGGGTTATTCTCTATTTCTCTTCAGTGTGAGTAGTCATCTGGCAAGGCAAGCATGAGCCGGTGTTCCATGCAGCGTTCCTGAGGAGGCTTCTTGCAACCCATTCTGATCTTCATCGGTCTGTACTGACTGACCTTCCCCAAAAGGGGATTTGTTTTGGGAGGGAGAGGTATTCGAGGAGACCTTGCTGGCAGACAAAGGTGACACCAGGCTGGGGTTTAAGCCTAGTGTGTTAGAGAGTGTGTTAGAGAGTTTTGGTAGTGTAGCTTGGTCACAGCCAGGTCCGTTGGAAGTGAATCCATGCCAAGAACCTACTACAGATATCTGCTCTAACCACCAAGCTCTTCCACCACCCATGTTCCACTTCCCACCCCAGTCTGGGTCAAAACACATTAATAGTTGTATTTTTTCCTCCTTTCTCCATGCTGGAAGATATTACCCCACAGCAAATAATTGGACTTTGATGTCTTCTTAGGAGTGTCAGTTTTTGTTCCCCCTGCTGATGCCGTACATCACCACGCACCATGACCAGAGAGCCTGTGACTGTGACTGAACCAGCGCTAGAATTACCATAATGGGGGCTTTGGTGGTGCATAGTAAACACATCTTTCAGTGTGACTGTGTTGAAATTATGACTGTTCAGGGGATAGGACAGTGCCTTTGAGCTGATAATGTGACTGCGTGCATGGGATGCAAATGCATTGTGAACAGCCACCCCGTG